ATTACTACGCCTCACACTCAACTGTTAACACAAGCAAACACACATACGCACACATCTACGCATAGAGAGATACACACGTAGATGACTACAGAAGAGAGACGAAAATACTCTACGAACCACAACCAAGGGGCATGGAGCAAGATCGGCAAGGTGTCGAATGATACTGGTGAGTACTTCAATTTTCTGAGCATTCAATACCCTCATCCTCCGCTTACAGACGGTCCAGTTGATACGAGACAGAGGTATCTATCTCATTTTGGGAGCAGGATGGAGGATACGGTTATCAGAGTACGGTACTCCGTTAATGCCATCTAATTTACATAGGGCCAACGAATCATCAATACAAAGTATTCACATCGGGGTGAGGATGAGCCGGTGTCCATGAAATCGGCAAGTTAACTACCCTTAATGCAGAGTTAACTTATAGTTTTTTATGCACTCCCATTCTTTGTACTGCCTTTATTCTGATCGAAGTCTTAATATACATGCCAATCATTTTACGAGCTTAAGGCACCTTTTAACTATTCATCATAGGCGTGAAAATTTATAGCTAATTTACCGCAGAAAACCGATCTGGTTTGACTCATGTGGACAATTTTGCACCGATTCACATAGGAAGTAAATTTTATCAGCCTCAATGGCTCAAAAGTCCATGCGACCGAAGATCGGAGGTGAAAGCTTCATTTAGCCCAAAAATGAGTATCCGCATACCCTAAGGTACAACAACTCGCCGTAAAAGGTCCTACCTTATATGCTGACACTATTCTTACAGCAAAGCTGAAACCACATGACTTGCTTGTCACTTGGCAATCTGACGCCATTACTTTTTCGCCTTTTACTACGGGTCTTCAAAACTAGAGTTCATCATTTAACCTTGACAGCGCAAACTTAAGAATTGTGAGGGTAGTTACATGAATTATTTCTGTGACCAAGTTCCACCTACTTTAAAGTGGATTCCAATAATTGAATTGCATTAAGCTACAATGACAGGCAGTGTGATTGTCTGATGCCGTTTTTTTCAACAGACGATCTCAACCTATCACGCTAACGAGAGTAGTTCAAGTGTGATGCTTTGAAACCCCATGGGCTGTATTTTGCTTCATTTATTAAGAGGAGTTTATCGGGTTGACACCATTAAATGTTCGTGCTCGAATAGCTAGAAAAGTGTATTTTATATTAATGTGACGCTCTTAAAAGCTTGTGATGACCCATTGTGCAAATGAAGCCTTTTAGAATCTGTAGGTAGACCTAATGCAAGTTGTAAAATTTGAGAATTTTGCTTATGCAAGCGGTTAATCCTGCAGCAAAGAACTGTCGCATGCTATTAATAGTTTCCGATGGTTTTCACTCATCTCGTATTCCTAACCAACACCAATTTTGCCACTGTTACTTGCCGGAATACAGTTCAATAGATCTGTGAATTTTAGCTTCAGATTTATTCGTATAATTTATGAAACCCCTTTCAGAAAAGGTGTCTGTTCTCTCCACTTTATCGACCTTTGATTTGGTGATAACTCTTATCAGATTAAAGGGTTAACATGACCGCCTCCTCAAAGGTATTGGAGTTAACGGATGGACTCGGGTAATGCCATTTTTCCTCCTTGAAGGTTTCAGGGGGTTTCGCACCGGTGTCACTGACATCGAATTCAAGGCTAAAGGGGGATGCTCCATCACCGAGGCGCAAAATGACTCCAATAGAGTCGACAAATTATGTCCCTGCAAGGACACCTCAAAATTACAGGCAGGGGTCGAAAACTTCGAATACTTTAGCCATAAGTGTACGTATTTCTGCCAGCGAAATCACAAATTTGGTAGTATGTGAAAGCTTTTGACAAGAAACAAATTATGCAAAGCAATTAGTTAGATTTCTTTTACTTGACGCACACGTCCAATTGTTATGTCAAAAAATTTAAAGTGAAATTATAAGGAACGGACTGCATTGGTTTCAAATGTTTGAATCTAATAAGACGCAAGAACTTTTGAGGTGCTGCAGCGTACTAGATGTACTCATTTTTGCATTTAGGACGAAACACGTTTATGGTCAAATGAGTATTTTGAAGCACCAGGCCAAAGAAGTCCCTATCGTGTGAATAGAAGGCTGGAGAATGGGGAAGTAATATTGAGAAGAGTGAGTTAGTCAAACTTTTCGAAGTGCGTTTTCAGCACTTCATGCACAACCTTCCTAAGAGCTTGACTTTTAAGTGTGAAATGCCGGTTTGCTTTTGTACACAATTAGTTCTATTGCACCGCTCATCTTCTGTAAGGGAATGTTTAAGGAGGTGAAGTTTTTAGTGATCTTTTAATATAAAGCGTCATTCTACGTCTTTCATGTTCAATGCACTTTATATTGCAATAATTCTCCCCAAAGTCCACAACAGTAGTCAACGCTGTTGAAGCATCCTCCGACCTGGTTATGCGAACCCTTCCTGCTTTTGTAATCGTTTAAGTAAAACATGTTTTTCTCTCTTTTTTGTAAATTATAAGTCCAAAATTCTCCACTTTAAGCCTCACGATTGCGGTGCCTTTAATTCCTAAAGAAACAACGGAACGTCTCACCTCATATTGGGGAGAGTCCGTGGCACTACTCAATTCCCGAAGAGATACAAGTTTTCGCTTTTTTCTGCCTCAAGACATTCCACAATTAATTTGATTGTCATGGCATTGTCATGGCAAAAACATGTTTTAGGTATTATTTAAAAGAGGTTACAAACGCACCTTTAATCACTGTTGCTAACGCACCGTAGCTTGAATAGATGCATGAAGAGAGGAGGATTACGATTTTGAATAACTTACACCCTTGTTTATGCATTCAGGATCAAAATAACAACCGCAATTCACCAAAGCCCTGCCTTGATGACCGTAATTCATGGGCCTCCCCTCTGCCATTGGAGCTGGGAAAGGTCGGTTGGTTGGTTTTATCCACCAAAGTGCTTGCTCAGTGAAGCGACTTTGCATATTCAAATGATTATCCAAGCATCTACTGGCATTTTAGGTGTCACAACTCTTCATGGAGTGATTTCCTTTATTACTCTATCCATAATTTTTAACAAAAACGTCATCTTTTGCTTTCTTCAAGGACCGGTTGATTGCTGCACGCGGTGGTTATGGTGTAAAACATTACAAAAATGGCAATAGTCATGACAACCTCTTCGGAAAGGTTAGTGTGGAGACCAATTCTATGCCAATTTACAGTATCCAGCACTGAGACTGGCTATAAGTTTTAGTAGCATAGCTAAGAGGTTTTGAGAGGTATTTGAACAGCCTCTTTCCCTGGATGACAAGCATGTGATATGTTTGTTAGATGCTCGATAAATCTTGATAAGAAGAATAATGACGATGATGCGGTGGCATTGACAGGCCTTTGAGCTAGATAGTCAGATCGCGGTCACGTCAGTCAAATTTTCATATTTTGCGTTTCTTACATTTTAAAGGCTTTAAGATTGCATTAGAATGATTTGGATGAATTAACTCAGTAGAAAAAATGAACCAGCAGGGACTAAAATTTTTTGCTTCACTTTTCCATCGTACCTTCCATTGTTGTAACAATTCACGACAGGAATTGAACCCCTTTTTTATAATTATTTTAGGAGAATTTATTCAAGTCGAAATCTCACCAAAACCTAGTGGACGCGAATGAGGTTTACCGGAAATGTTCGGTTCCAGTTGAGTTAATCCAAACACTTTCATACTCTTATTTTGAATACCACTACTGTTGATCTTTCGTGGTAAGGGGCTGCAATGACTAGCTTGAAGAAATTCGAAAACGCAATTAATGCGTATCCCCAATCGCAAGGTTTCTCCCCTTCAGCAAAGTGGGATTTGCCTGTTCCACCTCTTTTCTGAATCTATTTTTCTACACGCCTGAAATCTGCACCCTCAGTGCCACACAAGAAAGCGCTCCGATTCTCCACCTAAATCTGCATTTTATAAATACCCAGCACATGTATCTACAGCAAAATGCCTTCGATAAGCGCTCCCTTCTCCGAGCCATGTTAAAAAAAATGCAAAGGCATCAGAGCAAAAGCCTCGAACGGCAATGAGGTGATTACATGGTCGTATTTCGCTCATGCGCCTGCTCCGTAGGTTGACTACAGAGGTGTTTGTTTGGAATGATTTCGATTTCGCAAGAGTCACTGCTGCGCCCGTAGCCAAGTCACACGTAATATTAGCCAATTGTGTAAACGTGATCGGTAGCGTGAGTTTTGAGTAAGAAAGAGAGCTCTTTGCAATCCATAGATGCATGCTTTTTCGGTGCCTTAGGCTACCTCTTCCGTTAGGAGATAAACGAAGGATTGGCCTTGCATAAGACATCCTGCAATTAAAGACATCCGAACCGAAGACTAATCATCAAAAACAATTCTTTTTGTTTATTTATAAAGAATCAGAGTTATTCCAGGCCTCGATCAACTGTGATTTCAAGCCTCCAGAACTCCTCTGCACCTTCCCTGCAAGAACTGAGGGATTGCGCGAACTCACAGCCAAAGGCATTAAAGAAGAATTCCACGTCCCAAAGGCTGCCCTTTTCAGTTGAGGTAAATTTTATACGTTTTTTTGCATACTTTTATGTATGAAGAAGAGTGTACAGGATCTAATGTGAAGCAGATTTTGTAGTAGTAGTAGTAGTAGTTGTTGTTGTTTTGTTAAACAATCAAGCTCCTTTTGCAGGGTTTTAACGGTGCTTCATTGTCTGGAGGCGAAATTTTTACTTCGCAAGTTATTTGTGCAGCTAATATTCTTTTTTCCACATTGGTTTTCTGTGATCGAGATCACCAAGAATTCCATCCATCCCTTTGCCGGAAACAAAGTTTTACTCAAGACGTATACGTTTCGATAAGAAAAGCCAAACGGGTATACTCTGATTAACTTTGTCAGTTTAAGTTTGGGAAAGTCATTTTTTTAAGGTGCATGTGTCCTCAAAGCTATTTCTTACCCATCCAAATCGGTGGTTGTACGGAGAAATCATCAGTCTTCCGTTCACTTAGTGTGGATTTGTTTTAAAGATGAATGCAACTGGTGAAAACCACCGCAAAGGCTCAAGCGAAGGAGACAGCTTCTTTGAAGAGGTGAGGCGTTGCTTTCTTCCTGAATTATTACTTTGATGGTAGTGTAAGGTTGAGGTTTTGGCATTATCTGAGGACAGGAGTAGATTGTTCCCATATACCAGTTCCTGCCTTTTATTTAATAGTTGGCCGCCTATGAAAGGAGTAAGGAGAAAGAAAATAGAGTCATGAATCGTTTCACTACCAAAGACCGCCTTGATAATGTAAGTCTAAGTGGGGATTGAATGATCGGCGGACTATTTGATTGAAGATGATATTATCCAGGTAATCATCATCCCTCTAACTGCGAACTTAGACTCTTTCATCACAATCTGAAACGATCTTCGCTCCTGTGAAGAACGCTCCAGAGACAAAGACCCCTACACCTGTAAAAAAAGTGGTACGTAATTTCTTTACTATCCCAGTTTGAGTAAGTTGATAATCCCTATTTTTGGTTACATTTCACACCGTTTCTTCCGTTTCTGCCACATTACAAATGGTTCTAAAGACTGGAACTTTGAACTGTTCAACCAAATACCAAGAATCCGACCGCATAGAATGTCGATCCGCGGATCCATTTTGTCATCAGGTAATGAGTGACTCATCTTTGCAAAATCATCATTTTTTCTCCAAAGGTCCTCTATCCATGCATTCTTACTTTAGTAGCTTATGAGCGAGTTACTGGAAGCCTTGAAAGGTACTTCATGTTTAAATGCAGCAGCCATGTTCCCCTACTACTTCTTGTAGACCACATAAACTCTCTTAACGTGGAGTCAATCCCCAAACCCTAATATACTACCCAAGTTAAATCAAAATGAGAAGTTGATCGCATGGAGTGACAGATATGACTAATGGGACGTTGTGGTTCCCCCCTCATGACAAGTCACATGGTCCTTTGTCAGATGCGCATTTAATTAAATCGATTCAATTAAGTAGGTGCTTTGGCAGAGTTCCAACCAATGGGATGCCTGTTTCAGCTTCGACTTCCGCAGATGTCCTTTTCAACAAATTTTTTGTTATCACGCCTGCTGCCTAACTGCTCTTCATCTACTTCGGCGTAAATAATTCCTATTTGACAAGCATCATGACATTCTTACTCCATATGGAACAACTTCTTCCTTAGTTAAGGCATTTGGGGGTGGGGTTGAGCCTGCAATTTCGCCCGCTTTGAGTTGCATTTTCTGCATTGTTCTCAAGCTCTTTCATGGACGATAGAATCAGGCAATGCTCCGTTTCTCGTCATCGATGTCCGCACACTTTGAAGGGATTAGATCAACGCATTGTTTCGTATGCGCACGAAAGCGACTGAGTCATGAGTTGACTGAGCTCACCTATTAGTACACCTTATCACGGGAACTGTCAATAGCACTCCACTGAGATGCAGCTGACGTGGTCACATTGAGGACTGACGTTGCAAACAACCCGGCAACGCTGTACTCCACTGCATAGTGTGGTGAAGGCCTATTTATAGCCTCCTCCATATACCAGAAGGCGAGAGCACTTCAAAAGCAAAATTTGTTGAAACCCTCACCTACAGCTTATCCTTTAACCAAATTCGATTGTGCAAGAGTTGCGTGTATCATCAGAGCATCAAAACTATGCCAATACTTTTGTCTTCATTTGAGGTCCGAGATCCACCTATGAAGAACACAAGCAGGAGTCTTTATATGACACCTGGTCCAGGACGGAAAGATGTCTCACCTCAAAGCATTCCACCACGACCATGGACAGAACTGAAATTCTATCAGGTGTGTCAGCTTCTGCTTACAACATTTCAAACAAACAGCTAATTTACTGCAAGTTTCCATAGAATCACTGACAAGTTTGCGAAACCCGAAGTTTTCGCAGTGGATATTTTTCCAACTTTCCTCCCTGAAGTACCATTCGAAAGAGTCTTTAATTCACTCGAGTTAAAGTTTGCATTTAGGTTACACAAATCTGGTGGAACAATTATTAATGTCAAATTTTCGCAGAAGCGCCACAAATGTCGCCCCCACTTATATTGACTTAAATACTTCATGAGCCTTGTAAAACTCCAGTTATCACTTGCAGACCAATACTTCTTACCCCTTTGCAGAGACTCACACCAGCTCCTTCTAACGAACAGAAGATAAGGCCACCCTCCGAGTCGCCGGCACATTTGAGTCCTTCAGTTGACAGTAACAGCAGTGACGATGCTCGCATTCACTCAGATAAGGTGAGGGTAAAATGCTCTTTTCGAAGAAAAGAGCTCTTAGAAACGTTGGGGAATGAATAAGAGGATTCATTGAAGAAGAACCTGAGTGTTTCATGGTTCAAAGGATATAAATAGTAGTTTTGTGTGATGAATGTCTACAGCCATACCACTGGACCAACCTTCCTTAAGTGGGTCGTGTGTGCGTCTGTTGGGCACTTGGTCCGCTTTATTACACTTTTATTGGCCAGAAATCCGCAAATTTTTTTGCTTTTGGATAAGGATTTTCAAAGCGATGCTTATAGCAGAAGTTTGCCTAGTGGAAAACCTGTTCCTAATCAAACGTTTTGGGAACACATTTTTTGTCTCTATTTACCAAGTTAAACAAGTGGAAATGGTCTCACTAGCGATTGATTCGATTTATTGAAAATGAACGATCTCTTTGTCAAAACACTCGTCAAATGAAATTGCTGTTTTAAACAGTTGGCAGAGTACCAATGTCTGCACACATGAGAGGAATTTGAACAACGCTCTGGTCCGTATGAGCATCGAAGCAGCTGATTTACGAGTTGAGTGGAATTGTTCATTGGTGCATCCTCTCAGACAGTTGGATTGATTTGAGGATTTGCAGCACGACCACCTAGGCGGTACTGTAGCACTGCATAGACTTCTGGAATTATTTGTATAGTTAGAGGAAGCGGACTTGGTCATGCACGAGGCAAGCTCGATTGCAACACTGTGAGAAGGAGGCCACGGAAGGCAGTAGTAAAGGTTTAAGTCACACAACGTTTATTATCGTGGTTGCTTGCACTGTCAGTGCTCCAAAAGCATGTGAATCCTTTTGTTCTTATTTAAGGCCCGAGACTCACCGATGAAGAGCGCCAGTAGGAGTTCTTATGTGACACCCTCTCCAGGATGGAGAAATGCTTCGCCTCAAAACATTCCACCACGACCATGGACGGAACCGAAATCCTATCAGGTGCGTCACTCGTCCATTCGATTAGTGGGGTGCAGCCCTGTGAAACCGAAGGTGAGGATGAGTAGAGCTCAGCCATAGTGGCTACCATAAAGTGGTGAGCTGAATTCGTCAATAAGTGATCAAATTTGTGCGTGGGTGAAGCAGCACTTTCAGCCTCTCCTAGTTGCATAAATGAGCAATGACATACATTGGTGCTTTGGAGGCAATCATGGCTAAGGTTCAGGGTTAAGAGGACCATCAGATTTCTACATCGGTGGCAGTCTTCATTCTCGATCCGCTTTTACTACACTCGGATTGCATCTGCCATAGCCCTTTTGTTTGACAGGTTTGGGTTTCTTTGGGGAATGTGTTATAAAAACCGATGGTGTAAAATTATAAGTAGCCTTTCGAAACCTTGGCGAGTGTTGATCTTGACGTAGTCCTCCTAAACCTCTCTTTTTTTATTTCTATTGCTTCCCTATTGTATAGGCCTTTCGACGTTTTACTCCGAGCCGTCTCATTTTAAATAGTTGCACTAGTTGTGAGCTTATAAAAGTCCTAACCATGCTATAGTGCTGTTTTTGCAATATTTTAGGTTACTCACTTCATTTTGTGCTTGTTATTATAAATCTATCATGAATAGCGGATTGAATTTTTTACGGCCCCTCGAAATCATTCACTTTCTACAGCATTGCTGAATTCAAAATCTATCGCACTTAAGAAGGCTGGTCATTTTCTACTAACTTAATTTGAGAGACCTCTTACATAAATGGCACCTATGCCTATACCTAAGTTGCTCTTTATCGATACAAAGGAACCCCTGAGTACCGACAATTATGAAACGCCTTCCGTGACTCCGTCACTCATAGTGAAACAAATTGACAAGGTAAGTTTGTATTTGGCGGTGACATTTACCGTTTGTCAAAATTGCATTTTGAAAGGAACAGAGTAGGAGAGTTTTTTATTCTTTTGTCAATAATAAGCGGTGAAACTCTGAGGGCAACCAGACCATGGGTGTTTGAAGCGATTAAATGCTTTCAATTGTGTGCGCCTTCTAGTTGCGCTGTGTGCGGCGCAAAGATTGCAAACGCTGATTGTCGGTGACTTCAAGCACGTTATTTGGGCATCATTTTGCGGGGACTTATTGCATTAATTCTTAAAAATTCCTTCAATTCAAAACAATGAATGCTGAAGGAAATGGTGACGAAGTTAGCCCCCTCGTCTATCACTCACCCCAATGCTTATTAATTGGACATTTGGACTTGGCACTCAATAATGAGCCTTTAGGCAGCACACATTTGTGCAAATGCTGAAAAGATCAATTAGTCCCAAATGTCCAAAGCAGTCACACAATTCATCCTACTTCAAATGTTACATGAGCTCTGCAATTCAAGTGCTCACTTGTAGAGGACCACTTTTTGCCTCTCTACAGAAACCCACATCAGTACCTTCTGTCGAAGAAAGGTTCAAGCCGCCTTCTCAATCACCAAAGAAAATTGGGCCTCGATTGGACATCAACTCCAGTGTCCAAAGTCCACTCCTTTCAGACAAGGTGAGGGAGGGACATTTGTCCAAGAATGATGAGGTGTGCACCAGGTTGGTTCATGTACTCACGATCGACAGAATATCGTTGGTTTCTGTAAGAGGCATTCCTAATTATACTTTGAATAGTTTGTTCCTAGCTTTATCCTTCTATTCCGTGAAACCTATTTCTTCCAAAATTCTTGAGGTCAGTGGTTGTCCAAACTAAAGATTACCAGGTTGGAAGTTGAATTTTATTCATCCACTTCATTCAAAATATGTGGATGCATTTGTAGAGCTTAGTTTGGTAAACTCTTGAATGGCTACCCTTAAAGTAGTGCAACTTCATGTATCGTTTTGGCTCATATGGCATCACCTCTCTTGTGTTCTGCAATGATGCTAAAATGAAAGAGAAAAATACCCCAAACGAGTGGCGTCGCATTCATACAGCATTGTGCCACCTTTTCAACCATCATCTTTTATTGGATTCTAAGGTAGAGCTCAGACTTACCAAGCCTTCTAGTTCCGCTATTTATTAAAACTTTAGCAGTTTAAATGGAGAGTTAAGACAAATAACCAAAAGCGAAGGGCTATTAAAGGATTGTGCATTTTCGCCTTCTAGCGGATCATCATCATCGACATCGGGCACTACTACGTGCGAGCTGGAGCTCTGCGCGACGGAGGTGAATGCCTTTTCACCGGTTTTCGGGATTTTGTAATACCATTTTAACTCCTGTCACTTGCCTTAGGAACGAACCCTGACCTCTGTCTACCCAATATATTCGGTGTGACCTCGACTGGTGTCCTCTTCGGTGATGCCGTGCCTCGAATTACAGATGCCGAATTTGTGAAAAGCGTAGGCGACACGTCGGTTATCGCCCCGTTGTGCAGGAGTCAGATTACCGTAAATAAACTTCTCTCTTTACTCTTTTGAGCCTTGTTCCCTTATCATCACTAGCTTTTCTGCTTGATGCATTTTAACGCAGTCGCCTATAAGCGTCAAAGACGTTCCCATCGAGAAGGAATTTTTCCAAACAATACTTCAGCGGCTCAACCTATACGAATACGGCAAGAGTTTTAAGGTGAAGTCAGTGAATTCTCTGATCTTGCATTTGTGCCATGGTATCACAATGCTGGTTTCTACTATTCACCAACAGCTCCTGCTTTGCCTCCCAACTCGTGCATCGGCGCTGCGACCGTATTTCATTGACTACTTTCTCGGACCCACTGCGGCGACTGATGGATTTGGAATTGTTGAAGCCGTGGCAACTGTCTCCGCTTTTCGAGCCGCTCTTCAGACTCCGAAGGTCTCAACTTGTCTCGTCATCTCCCTTAGTGCAGACCTTGAAATTATCCCCTTGGCTGAGGGTGGGTTAAATGAAAGCAGCTATTGGGGGTTCAAATCAGTTTTTAGCTTTTCTTCCACAACTTATTTTGTAAATTGGATTCAAATGAAAGACTGTCTTCGTAGAGGTGCACATCCTTTGGCTTGTGTTGTACTTTCTTTTCTGTTTCATTTGCTAAAATTAGGACATCTTTGCTTCCCTTTGACTTTGTGTCTTGCGTCATTCTTTCACTGCAAATTTATTAAATGCATTGAGGTGTTCGCGCTCCCACCCAAGCTCCTGAAAGCAGGATAACTGACCGCGGGGACAGATTCACATGTGCTTAACTAGTAAGACTCACCCTCTGAATGGCAAGTCTTTGAGTTTGGGATTGAAGTTCAGGTTACTAAACTTCTTAACGAGGCACGACGTACATCTCGTGATAATTGCTGGCGCTTTCTAGCTTTTTAGGCACCTAAGTGGTCTCAAATGACTTAATGGTTGGACCTTGTTCGGTGAATTTGCTTGCGTCTGCGTCAACACCAAAAGTTATTAGATCCGTGTATTTAACATTTTGAGGCAATTTGGTGATAGCGGAAGGTTTTTAAGTTCTCCATACTTGTCTTGCAATACTCCAATCCATCACATTCACCCCTTCATAGTCGAATAGGCTTCTCATTTTTTACGAGGATAGGAGATTTGAAGTAGTTTTCAACCTCCTCGGAGGTGGGACTAGTTTTGTTGCCTCATCGAATTGCTGGCGATAATGAGAGACTCAGTGTTTCAATCCTGAGTTCCTAAGAGTAAAGAGCGCTTTTGATGAGGGAAGACAAGTATTACGCACTAACGATTCCCCTCGTCTGAGAATTTTTTTTCCTTTGTTTTGCGAGACCTTTAGAGGTTTAGAAACGCTATGCCAAAAATTTATGATTATCTGTGCATAGACTAACGAAATGAACTACCCATCTTTGTTTTTGATAGGTGCGACTTGTAATCAAAAACCTCAATTTGGTGATTCGATCAGCAAAAAATACACAATTGTTTGCGAAGAACACCAACACCTGACGGCTAGAGCATTGATAACCTAACCGATTTTGTTAGTATCGTTTCGGAAGGGTAGAGTAACTCAGGATCTGCTTTTGGGAGTTGAAAATCTGTACTGTGGAATCTCCTTCTGCTACAGTCCAAATACTGTGACTTCGCTCTCCTTGCAGGAGGCCTCGTGGAACATGGTAGATCAACCACTGCTCTTTACGGCGAAGAAGCTCTTCGTTCCTTTATGAAGGAGATGGTCGCAGCGAACATTGAACTAAGCGAACAGGAATTCGAGTGCTTCGGACACTACATCTACCAACAGGTTCGATTATTTTCGTCATAGTGATCATTTTTGTGATTCTTTTAGTTCTTCCTACTCTAAGATGCAAAGTAGTTAAATTTCACAATAGCTCTTCTCTTATGCGTTACTCCTCTGTGTCGCTCATGGCGTATCGAATGAAGGTGCCATCGTAGATCTGCCCGGTGGAAATGCATTCAAATGCATCAAAATCACATAACGAACGCCAACACTTGGCATTGGACAGCACTGACACCATCTAGAACTGAATGGAATTAAAGTGACATAATTGTTCGAAAGCCACTTGAATTGGCTTCGTGCTTTTTCCTAGTGTTGTGGTCAAGGCTAAGTATATACCAAAATGATTGAAGCACAAATTAGCAAGTCACCAGAATTGATGAGCGTTTGCTTTGCGACAAGGAACCTTCGTGAGAGGTAGACCTCAACCCCCTTACTTTTTGCAAAAGTGTAACGAAACGCACGTAAGTTTTACTAAAGCCCTTCATAGAATCAATTGACTCAGTCTTCAAAATCACTTTAATTTAGTTGCTCGTTAAAAAAATCAGGAATCAAACGTCTTTTGTGCTGTGCGGCCTGGCAAGGCACTAATTGCTTCATGTGATTTTTCCCTTGGTGCTTTAGGCGGCATTTATCGAAAACAAAGAAACGAGATGTCATGACGTTGTGATTGATTTGTCGCAGTACGCACCCTACCCTATAAATAAGTAAGTCCTCCCATTTGATCAAAACCTTCATCCGTTTTTGCGTTCTGAAAGCGTCAAAAAAGACACCCTTCTTTCTAGGATTTAAACTTTGCTATTGAAATTATGAGTTATTGCTAAATTGAGTCTTTGGTGACATTTCAAAGCTCAGTTTAATCAATTCTACTTTTCTATAGCCTTAAAACCCGTCTTCTCTCGCACTTAGACGCATTTCCGTGCCAGCCGAGCTGCGACTAAAGGCATCAGACGCACTTCTGCGACCAGAGCAGGCGTGTACCTACAACGGGGAGTTGCCCTCCTTCAAAGAACTCCTCAACAGGACTATCCAATCCTGCGACGTTGATCTTCGCAGCGCAATCTGCTCCAACGTCCTCCTCATCGGCGAGTTTGCAGGCATCGAAGGTGAGCAGTGCGACGTATGAGGATGGTCTTAGAAACCGATTTATTCACAACTTCTTGGTGGGAGAGAAGGGATTTACGCAATTAAAGAGGCACTTGTGGCGAATTCATTAAATAATTCATCCAAGCTGCTGAATGATATCAAGAGACCTTTATTGGAAGGACACAGCTTTCACTATTTGTCATACCCCATCAGTCAACGATTTAGTACAAAACTCCAAAATAAGCTTCTTCTGTATTAGCTCATCATTGAAACAGTGCGACTAATTTGAGAAACGGTTTTGACAGTTGTCAAAATACGATACGAAATTATTAGGCTTATCTGCCATGTTGCCAAATATTTCCAAGCACTTTTACCAATAAGGTTGCATAATTTGTTGTGAGAATTGTACAAGATTAGTAGTTAACATGGTATAAGACCCATGAATTTAAATGGCAAAATAATTCTTGACTCAGATGCCAAAAGCATTTGCATCTACTTAGATTCATTCAGTAGTGAAGGTGGTTCAGCAAGTATTGAGGTGGCAATCTCATGTGAGGCTACAGAATGACATTTGTCACTCCCGTGGCCTGCTTTTATTTCTGCACGACTTTCCGACAGGCTTACGGGAACGGATGAGTGAGGAGATGCGAGCATTCCTGCCGGAGGGCGCAAGCCCACCTACAGTACAGGTGGCGATGAACTCCGCGGGATTGGCGTATGAAGGTGCATGCCTCCTCTCTACTGTGCTGCAGGGTCCACAGCCACCCCGCTGTCCGTGGTTTCGCTTCATAGACGCGAAAGCTTGGTCATCAATGCGGCTAGAAACAGGTTGTAGCACATCCTTCTCCGGCACTCGCCTTCTCAGTCGCCTCAATAGAGACTGCCTTTGGCCCTAGATCTACCAGCGCACCCAAGCATCCAGCCACACTCCCTCGAACAAACCCTTACCCACAGCTATCTTGAGTCAACTTATTTTGTCAGCTATCGTGACAATTATGATACTAAAATCCGTACTTATCAGTGTTTCGGCCTACATTTGTTAAGGAGTTTAATGCATACGTTTAGTTCAAAAGGAAGGTAGCAAATCCTGTGACAGTAAAAAACAAACGACTTTCCGATTTCAGAACTAAGTAGAAAGCTGGAGAGTTTTCGGTGATGCTCGACGAACAGCATGCAGTGCTCAAAAAGCCATAAGTCCTGTAGCAACCATAGATGTGTAGTTTCAACTCAACCCAGAGAGGAGCATTGGCAGCTAATGAGCAAGAACGGCAAAGTGAATACAAATGCTGTAGAGCAGGCCCCAAAAACTTTACTTGCGCCTGATACTGCTTCGGAATACATCATAACCGGCACACAATAGTCGCGAGAGTGAGTATCATGAAAGTTACTCTACTCAAGCACTTTGTACAGAAATACACCGCACTGAACGCAAAACGCAACAATTTATACAGATTCTCAGGATGCGTTTGCAATTATGTACAAAAAATAACGCACCGATATGATATCACAACACAAATCAATAATTGAAGGACAGGTACGCTTTACCTGGCTTCGAGTAAGGGAACGGACTTTCTGAAGTCACTACTTCTGTGTTGATTGGACTCTCGCAGGAATCGCCCTTAAGCATGGACTCACTGTAGGCTAGCATCGGTTGCTTCCCCTCGCGCCATGCTTCTGTTAGCTCCTTGAGGAAGGCCATCCGGTCACAAAACGTCTCCTGATCCGCAGAACAAACAAGATCTGCCAGCTGATTTGAAAGAGGCTCAAATTGGGACAGTCGACAGTCATCTTTTGTGTGCACCACCCAATCAGAAACAGGAGGGATTGGATCAAAATCAAAATCAGCCTCTGTAGAATTTTGATGTCGCGAGGGCTCCTGCCTAGTCTGCCCATGGCTGGTGCCGTTGGATCTCTGGAGCTTCCGCAAGCGATATTTCATTTGCCGTACATCATTCAGTGTACAGGGTTTGCCAAACTTACGTTCTATGTGCTCTTTTACGGTTAGATTGTCAGGTGCCGACTGTAGAAAATCGTTTATCTCTAGCTTCTCATCTTCAGTTAGACGACGATTTTCCGGATAGGTTTCTGCAAGCTCTGTTGTCACAGGATGATTGTGGCGCATTACAAAACCAATTATATGCAGCTTTTTTCCTTTACATCCGATTCTCACAATGCATGGACAATTGATTTTCCTAGTTCTTGTAGAAAAACTATTTGGAAGATTATGGTGCTTACTTTTGTTGTTGAGACTTTAAAGAAAGACTCCGGCCGTTTCCATAATGGCAACAGGCATAAGTGATGGACTTGTACACTAAGGTTTCATGCTCCGGTGCACTGTCGGGGTAACGTATGGAGTTACGTTTTACCAGCAGACATCCAGTAGCCTAAAAGGTCAGACTTAAGCAACAGTAAAACCTGCTGAAATGATATCAAAAGCCTTTCTAATTCTTCGAATGACGAAAACGTCCTTAGAGGTACGTGCTCTTGGAAAACGGCGGTTTGGTCTGTAGTCATGTCACCATCTACAATTTTCTACGAGTAAAATAATGAGCAACTACCAATATCAACCTCTGGAATATCTGTTATCAGTGGATTCGATTGAAGTGCATCAACCTTTCCATAGCCTACTAGACCGTCAGTACCGACATGAGTATGAAGCATATAATAACGAGCAATACGAAGTGTACCGTAACTGTGGCATACGTTTATGAAAGATGGACAATTATCAGATCTCAAAAAATTAGACATATGAATAACATACTTCTGACAGCTACATACATACTGGATGTATTTATACACGAACACATTTCGATTAGCTATATCATCAGCTAAACGAATACTCCGTTTAATGGTGTATTGCACACCGCAAGCCTACAAATTTCGACCTAGGAAAGTACGAACCACTTCAAATTCCTTCATCTTGTGCTTTAATTCCTCATAAGACGCAAAGTAGTAGGGCTTCAACGTGTGCCCAAAGCATTCACTCGTATCCATCCCGCCTAAAGGAGTACTTCCATTTAGCGGGTAAGATGGCAGATTAAACAAAGTGCATCAATAAGTTAAATATTTTGCATTACTTTGTCTAGCATTATGTTGCATAGCACAGAGTATTTAAGTGTCTGTTAAAAACGATAGTTGCATTTGTACCTATAGAGACTTGTTTCCTGCTGTGGTGTTTGACATATATTTGAACATTTATTTTTTCCGCTTGGATTAATCTGGATGACTCAGACTGTTTTATGTTGAAGGTCAATTTCTTGAAATTTTTACCCTGATGTATCTCAAATGTTTGCAGTTTGTGCAGCAGGGCAAATTAGTACAGGAAATCACGCATTACCTACATTACTGCCATTGAGCATGCGTTAAATATTGAAGCGGAAATGCGGAGTGCGACGGCTGAAGGCTCCATACATTTTTAAAATGCTATACAGATACTAAGTCTGCGACGAGTACGATGACAAGATATCCGTGTTATATGATAGTAGTAATGGGTACCCTTTCAGTGATCCACTTCTTCGACATATTGTAAACTTAGCCATGTCAAGGCGTAAATTTCGGATTTGCTTGCCTCCCATAATTAGTATCACATAAAAACATAGAATTTTTAAGATTATTTTTCTACGATCTTTAACATTTAATATTGTGAGCATTTACATGTCTTTTTTCCTTAGTTTTACTATTTCAGCCCTTAGGCTGCTCTAGTTATTATTAGTACTGAAGGTACATGGACTAAAACATGCGAATAAAGTCGGAACCATGATGTACTTTTGCTCAATTCACTAAAAATGCTATTTGCCATCATTCATAATCGAATTTTGTTTCTTTGTGTTACGTTGGCTACCACGCTTCGCATTTGAAATGCATTTTTACCTTCCTATTTACGTTATTGTCACGCTTTTCCTACATTTTAGCTGTTCAAACGCATACTTCTTAAATGAGCTTCCGTATTCATTTTGCTTGTTAGAACGGCTGCAGATGGACAGTGCGGATGTAACCTATTTTCAGATCGACATAAATGAGACAGTAGTGGTTAATGATGGAAGTCTTGACTTTCTACAACTATCAGGAGAGGGCTACACATTCAAATGCACTTTTCAGTATCTTGGATTTCGGGAGGTCAGCAGGCCATATGTTTTGTGCTGTCGATGAATCTTGGAATATTCACAAAAGTAATAGTATGAGCAGTAAAACCGATTGGTCGTGCTTGTTTTTAATTGTGCATAAAGTGAATGATGCGCCTGTTTTGCATTTTGTCTCTTGAATAATGGCAAATTCTGACTTAATTGTGAGTTCTTTGCCTTCTGGTCTTCACTTTCCAGTCGTTTTGGAAATATGAAACCATTTCTCCTTGCTTTTGTGGGACCATCACATTGTGCATCAAAGCTTTGAAGCTTGTTTACTCTGTTTTATCAGTAGCATGTCAAGCTAAGGCCTTAAAGCGTTAACTTTAGTAATGTTTAATATCCGCCAATACTGACTGCACTTTTTATTATTGCTTTAGCCTTACCTATTTCATTGCAACTAAAAAACAATAACAATTGCCTTAATATCTTAGAATACCAAAATTTTACATGCCTTATCTCAATAACCATATTTTTATCCCTTTCAAATGCATCTACAACAAAGCTATTCATTGCACGCAGTTTGTATCATGTTGGTTTTAGCAAACCTCTTTTTTAGCTCATACACTGGCTTGTTTGCCTAGGTATGGATCAGTGTGTACTGAGAGCAAACACATCTAGCCAACAAGTGTTGTGCAGCGCTCCGAGGTTTCCCTCAGGGCGAATGGAGGCATACTGCAAGTGCGAAAGATGTTTTGCTGACATATAGGATGGCTTGAGGCTGCTAGCATGAATAAGAGGTCAGCCTATGCTTTAAAATTGAAATTTTGGAGCTCCAAGTGGTTCATTGTAAAACAGGGGATGGAAAACGTGTTTTATCGTTGGCCCCACAGCGCCTCTTAGCCTTCTTCGCTTACCATTGGTAAAGTGGCCGGTAGTGTCAGAGAGAGACATTTAAGGACTCACTTCGGCATTCATGGAGGTTTCGCCTAAGCAGAATGCCTGGCTGCCACGTCAATTATTTTTGTTTAGTAATTCTCCTGGATCTTGAGTTACGTCCAGCTTGCAAACTGTGTTAGGAACGATGAATATTCGGGTCATTTTGACCGATTACCTCTAGTTGTAAGAAGCGTGGTCCAAAAGTGAGGTCCTATAACAAGATAGGTCGGTGAAAATTGTTTCGTTAAGCATTGGTTTTGCGTCTGTTCCGCTTTGCTACATTGTTTCCACTTCATTGCGATCCAGCCACATGTCAATCTGAATTTTAGCCAGGTAGAAGAGATGGGAAAGAAGCATCGCACTTTCACCTGTTTGGTAGTTTCGTTCAGGTAAAGCAAGCAGCCCTGTAAGGGGACTTGTCCAGATGGTTCACAGCCGTAGCTAGTTTTGCTTTGGTTGCTCATGTCTTTCCTGCAGATTATGGAAATAGACGGTTGACGTCATCGGTGAACCTCCTACTCACTTCCTGATTATGTTTGTCCACCGGCAACAGACTTCAAAGTAAATGGTCGTTATTTGTAGAGTTCGCCAAACATTCTCATTAATTTAGTGCTTGGGAGCTTCCCTGATGACGGATAAAGTCGCAGTACAGGAAATGAATATGGGTGTTTGAGATGCAGGTAAGGTTTTGAGTAGGGCATCGAGGTGGTCGCCTTGCCGAAACCAGCGTTTAAGCCCCCAGTGCGCGATAACTGTGTCCACTCACATAAAACTGAAAAGCAGATTAATATGGTGGATGGCATTTCGTGCTCTTTGGCCATGCTTAGTTGAAGAGCGCTACTGAATCTAAAAACTCCCACTTTAGGCAAGGGGAAAATTCTTTACGAAGTCTAAGGCTCACGGTGCTATGCTTAAACAATTTTGGAGCCACTAAATGAAAAGTACGTTTATAAGTGAGGAATTTGTCAATTTGTGGGAATGATTAGCACTATGATTTGTGGAGTTCAGTTCTTACCGTTGATCGTGTCACCGATGAATACATTGGGGTTGGACAAATTCGACCTCTGTGAATAAATACCACAAACAAGTCCCTCTCCTATTCGTTCTAGGCGTAGGAAGAGCACACAGAGGACTACTGAGTGAGGAGGAGGATGGGAAGATTGATGGAACTGAGGGCTGCTCTTCACCTTACTCTCCGTCTGTCTATCCTCGTCGTGTGTGCGCTTGCATGCACACATCCACCCATACATGCCTGACAGCCTGCTCAAGCCTTTTAATTTCACGGTGACCTGTCCATCTGCGTTCTATGTCTCCTCTCCCCTCGCCTCCCCCCTCCCCACCTCATCCATCCATCCATCTATCTCTCTCCGTACCTCGTCTGTCCGCCTGTCCACTCTAATTCATTCATCTCGTTCACTAACTCACCAGCTCACTCTTCCTCTAATGCCCCTGCCTGAGCTGCCAATTCAACATGTCAATCTGAAGGCACGTAAGAGTCACAGCTCCTCAGTCCTCTCTTCCCCGCCCTCCTCCCTCCCCCACATAGGCTTCCCTATTCCCTTCTCCTGCATCTGCTAAAACGACAACTCGTGTAGCATTTCACCATTAGTAGTCGTAGTCGTAGTCGTAGTGGTGGTAGCAGACAAGAGAGGGCTGGGAGGTTGTGTATACATGTGCGCACGCAACTCTGAGCTCCTCGTCCTGATTGACAGCCTCGATTTTCAGCCTGACAGAGTTATCCACTTTCTCTCTCTCCCTCTCTTCACTACAAAGGATGCATTCTCCCCAGCGCGATTCTTGGCAATCGACATAAGAATTCTTCGTGTTGTGTTTATTCGACGTTGAAAGTTTTTGAAATGGATGAGGTTGCTTTTTGCGGGCACTGTTTCATCCGCCTACTTAACAATGAGTCAGAAGCAAAGAAAAATATTGTTGTCTTTAATAATGAAGTGCTCAATTTCCTGGAAATCCCTAAGTTACAATAGATTTTCATGCTTCTCGACCAGTTTTTGCATTTTCAAAGAACTTATGCAACGATCAAGTTTGTGATCGGGCAGAATTTACAGGTTTACCACGTTCTTTGTCTCCGCCAATTGTGCACCTCCGTTGGAAATGGGATTAGCGTTCATGCCAGCAGTTTTATTGGTCTCCTCCTCCTCCCCCCTGTCAAACACCACTAAAGACACTACGATGGTGACCGTTTGTCATGGCTAAAACTCATTACATGTTGGCTCTAGGCAATTGCTTTTGCTGTCGAGATCAGGATCAGAGACCAAGGGCTCTCCATTCCAATTTGGTGCTGAATGAATTGCGTTTCCGTTTTCATTTAATAACAATTGCATCGTGTTTTTTGTTTGCTCGTGTTAATGACTAAAG